AGGGGAATATAGAGTTGTAGTGGAGCCTAAAAGTCGAAGCGACACACGTTGGGCTTGTAGAGGTAGGTTTCTTAGCAGCGACGGCACGCAGCGCCTGGAACCAGCACACGTCGGTTGCGCTTGTAGAGGTAGGTTTCTTAGCAGCGACGGCACGCAGCGCCTGGAGCCAGCACACGCAGCGTCCGGAGCCGGCGCACGTAGCGCCTGGAGTAGGTGCGCTCAACGCTTGGAGCCAGTAGTTGCAGCGCCCAAAGGTAGCGCCGGCAGTAGGTGCACTCGGCGCCTGGAGTAAGCAGTCGTAGCGACCGGAGTAGTGTGGCCCCCGCGCTTGAAGTAGACTGCCGACGACTTCCGAGGTAGATGGAGGCTTGTAGGATTCCAGAGTGGTGCGGCTCCGCGCTTGAAGAAGGCTTCGCCGAAGACTTCACGTGTAGGTGGAGGCTTGCAGGATCCCGGGGCAATGCGGCCCCGGGATAAGGCCTTTAGAAAATATTTCTTCTTTGAGAACTCAAGCGAGACTGCCTTTCTTCACCGATTGTTCGGCTTTTATACCTTTCTAGAGAGAACGGAAAAATTATTCAAATTAAACGCAAATTTATTGTAAATGGTCAAGAGAAAAGAGTATTTATGTGGAATTATCGAAATAGAAACAACAGACCGGTAGCAAATTTGAATATAATTGCTATGGAAACCAAATAAACAACAATGTCAAAACATGTCAAATTTTGGTTTTAGGCTTATAATAAGAAAACGGCAAGATTTAAGTGGAAAATGAGATATTATTGATATAGGAAAAAAGGTAGCGCAACTGCCCACATAAAGCCCGAGATTGTAGAGTTACGGAAAACTAACTAAAAGATCGAAAAAAGGTAGACTCCATTGACACCAATTTAAAAGTGCTGATAATGTGAAAATATGAAGTAGAAATGATTTGTTATTGTGTTCTTATGGTTTAAAATCGTTACAGGATCCTATGGAAATAAAGGTGATGTAAACTATCCAGTTTTGAAGTGAATACAGAAAATCGAAACAGAATGGAAAAATGAATTTAAAATAATGTAAAATGATAAGTAAGTAGCATAACACTACAGAATATGTTAAAAATTATTCTAAAATGTTTAAAAGAGTTTGCCCTACAGCCAAATCGTGCTAATATGTAATATTAGCAACAAAATTAAGACGTCAAAGAATAAAATTAAAATGACGTGGAGTATAATTAACAATGAAACCGGTAAAGACAAACCTCGTAACTCAAACTATCAATTAAAAATTAACAATGAATTGACTAAATCAAATCAAGAAGTCGCAGCGGTGTTTGAGAAATATTTCACTGATATTCCTATCTTGACAACCGAGTCATTGAATACTTCTCCAACTGTCGCCGAGTCATTACTCAAACAGAATGTTAACACCTGTTTAAAAGAATTCAGATTTGAAAAAGTATCATCGCAAGATGTTGTAAAATACTTCAAAACCATTGATGTATAGAAGACTGCAGATTTGTGGGGGATTTCCGTTACAGTTATTGCGTCCATAATAGATTTAATTGCACCTCATCTTGCTATTATTTTTAATACTTGTATCGATCTGATGGTAAGTGGTTGCTGTGGCTTATAGACATCTTCGTTTGCGAATCAAAATGAAGATGCGTTGTTAGCCGTGAGGACTATGATGGAATGCCTCTTTTTTCAGTAAAAAGGGTCTCGTGTACTTACCATACGAAACACAGCAGCATTAAGCTGCTATTTTACGCTGGTATTCTGTGAGAGCTTGGTCCTTGTCCGGTCGAGCCGACCCATTCGTGCTACAACTATAATATAGCTGCAGCATGGCTCTACCACGTATTAAAAATGTTGTAAAATACTTCAAAACCATTGATGTAAAGAATACCGCAGATTTGTGGGGGATTTCCGTTACAGTTATTGCGTCCATATGAGACTTAATTGCACCTCATCTTGCTATTATTTTTAATACTTGTATCGATTCTGGTGTGTTTCCTGATTTAATGAAGTATAGTAAAGTATTACCTTTAAAGGCTTATTACATTACACGATTTCTCGGGCCCTGCCCGCAGGGACAGGGTAGTGTAATAAGAAACAGGGAGTCAGGGTCCCTAAACAGGGCGACCTAGTGGTTCCGACCGCCCTGCTTCCCTGCCGCGCTGTGGATCGTGTAGTGTAATAAGAGACAGGAAGTCAGGGAGCTCAGTTGCGTGTGGTTACGTGGCCGCATGCGCAGAGTCTACACGTTTGTTTATAAGTGGATCTACTCTCTAAATCATTACTCGTATTTATGTCATGCACTAAAGAAAAAGATCCTTCTCAATGTCATCGACATCTACAAAGATATGCCTTATCAAATCTTGATAGGAGTTTCCATTGGCCAAAATCGTAAAGTGACAACCAATCTCTCTTAAAAAAGTATTCTTTTGAATAAAACTTCTTTTACGGATTCTATCGCGTTTAATTTTTTTTATTAATTCCCGACGTTTTGGGTGCTTTACTACCCATGATCACGGGGGACTGGTTGCTGTAAAGCATCCGAAACGTCGGGAATTAATAAAAAAAAAATTAAAAGCGATAGAATCCGTAAAAGTAGTTTTATTCAATGTGTAGTGTTCGCGTAAATATAAGAAATCATTAAAGTACTCTTTTTTCTATTAAAGGCGTTACTAAACTTCGACGAGTTATTAACTCGTCGAATTGGTTTTCACCTACTCTTTAAAATAGTTTCGTAGGTCTGTTGGGTCCAAAACGCTGACTATTTGCATATTCGATAGTTTTTCTCTGAGGAGCAAATACTTTTCATCCACATTTAACTTTCCTTCCTTTTTTTAGCTTGGCCTTGCACGTTACCGCCAGCCAAAGTTTTTTTTATATGATAGGGTGACAAACGAGCACACAGTCCACCCGATGGTAAGTGGTTGCTGTGGCCCATAGACACCTACATTTATCCTCGTATGCGAATCAAAATGCAGATGCGTTGTCACCCGTGAGGACTGAGATGGAATGCCTCTTTTTCAGTAAAAAGGGTCTCCGGTTCTCTACACTCACCATACGAAACACAGCAGTGTTAAGCTGCTATTTTAAGCTGGTATTCTGTGAAAACGTGGTCCTTCCCCGGTCGAGCCGACCCATTCGTGCTACAACTATACTACTATTATAGCTGTAGCATGGCTCTACCACGTAAAAAAAACAATAAAGCAATTTTTTCACGTATAGATAAAGTCTGCGCCATAATGCTAGACGTGCAATCATTTCCACGTTCGAGTAACAACTGATTATTCAAAGTACTCTGTGAGTAACAACTGAGGCAGGAAGCGATTTCTAGCGTAGTGTAATAAGCAGCGCCCTGTCTGGCAGGCAGGGCACACGATGGACATGGCCCGATAAATCTTGTAATATAATAAGCCTTTTATTTAAATCTGGTAGAACATTGGACCCCGCTAATTTTAGACCTATTTCTGTACTACCAACTCTCAGTAAAATTTTTGAAAAAATAATTTTGGATCAATTGTTAACTTTTTTTAATACAAATAAATTACTTCATAAAAACCAATTTGGTTTCACAAGGGGTCGCTCGACGTCTGACGCCGGTGTTGAGCTTATGAAATGTATTTTTAATGCCTGGGAGAATTCACAAGATGCCTTAGGTATTTTTTGTGATCTTTTCAAGGCTTTCGATTGTGTTCATCATGAGACATTAATCAGGAAACTACAACATAACAGTGTAAAAAATTTAGCGCTTAGACTTATTACTTCATATTTAAGTAACGGAATTCAAAAAGTAGTGATTAATAGTAAAGGTTCCTCCGGATCGGTAGTATCAATGGGCGTTCCTCAGGGCTCGATTCGACCCATTCCTGTTTTTAATCTATATTTATGACTTACCTTATCTAGTAGGGGACAATCACGATATAGTATTATTTGCTGACGAAACCTCTTGAATTTTCAAACTCAAACAACAGTTAATTAATTATGACGATGTAAATAATGCTCTAACGAAATTGGTATATTGGTTTAACGCCAACAATATACTCTTAAACGGCAATAAGACAAAGTGTATTAAATTTACCATACCTAATGTAAAACATTCGAATACCAATGTGAATGGGGAGGAGTTGAGTCTTGTGGAAACCACTGTTTTTCTTGGTATTACTATTGACGCGAAACTTCAATGGGGCCCCCATATATCTAAATTAGCAAGCAGACTTAGTTCTGCAGCATATGCTGTAAGAAAGATTAGAAGTCTCACAGATGTTGAGACAGGTAGATTAGTATATTTTAGTTACTTTCATAGCGTAATGTCTTATGGAATTTTTCTATGGGGTAATGCGGCTGATATTGAATCTATATTTGTTTTGCAAAAGAGAGCCGTACGGGCGATTTATAACCTAAATTGTAAAGAGTCCCTCAGAAAAAAAATTAAAGAAATAAACATATTAACTTTGGCATCGCAATATATTTAAGAGAATGTAATGTATGTGAATAAAAACATAAATAGCTTTAATAAGAATAAGGATGTGCATACTTTAAATACTAGGAACAAACATAAGCTTGTAATGCCAGTTACTAGACTCTACAGAATCAGTAATTCATTTATAGGGCAATGTATACGCTTTTACAACAAAATTCCAGAACATATTCAAAGTTTGTCAATAAACAAGTATAAAAGTTTTATTAAAGAAAAACTGTACAAAAAGGGTTATTATAATATCAAGGAATACATGAATGAAAATAACCCCTGGGAATAGGGTAATCGCCACCATGCTGGTTCTATGAAAAATTATTTAAAAATTGTATAAACAAAATTATTGTTAAGTGAAATTATGTTTAAAAAAAAGTCCCGCTGGGTTTCTTGCTGGTTCTTCCCAGGACTGAGTGACGTATTTTCCGAACCAGTGGTAAATAAAAAATGACTTTCAATAAGTATTATGTAATAATCAATATTGAATAAAAAAATATTCTATTCTATATAATTTATAAAATAAAACAAAAAGTATAATAGAAACTTGTTTATTTACATAATATTTACAAGGAGTTAGCTTAAAACCTATATACCTAATTACGAAATGGCAACTTGAGCAAATCTTAAGCAGATTGTTTATTATGCATAATGATATGTTATGTTACAAATTGTATCTCATAATATTCAAAAAATATCCCTTAAAAATATATGAACTTTATATTATACTATACTTATACATCAGCAATCGATTTTGTAGATGAAAAAAATATATTCCTGAGGTTATTTCAAAATCACACACTTCGAAGGCAACTAAAATTGGTTATGATGACGTTTTTTTGTGTCAAATAAAATCAAGTTAATATCGATTCATGGGTCTTTGTTATCTTGATATTGTTATTGCGATATTATTGGTATATCTTGGTTACTTCTCTCTTTATGAAATTTAGTAATGTCTTTTTTGAAAAAAACAAATGTGTTAAAACTTTTAATAATAATATATTTTTATCACCATAAAGGAATGTAACGTAGCTTCTTTGGAATGAACAAAGAGATACAAAACCGGCAAAACAAAATAAAATGCATAACGAAAATATTAAATTTATCACAAAAATTGTCCTGTATATGTTTTGAAATGAAACTCGAAAATCAATTCCTAAATATCGATCTTAAATCTTAACATACAAAAACGAGTTTACCGCTACAAGTGTAATTCGTCGTCAGATTCGCTGTCACTTGAATACTTGATTGCTTTTTGAATTTCTTCTTCAATCTCTAGGGCGCTTTGTTGCTTCTCATCGCTGGCTAATTTGTTGTAAGCAACTTTGATGTTAGAATTATAATTAGTTTTATTACACACGCCGTATCTTTTAACACTGCACGATATTAAAATATATAATATTATAGCACTAAAAGCGACTGACACAATTGCTAAGGCAACATTAATTTTATAATGCCACTCGGCGTTAGTAATCTGTGGTACCACTGTTTTTGGATAACAGTATAACTTTAACTCAACATCAGTCCCATTGTACAGTTGAGCGTCATCTAAACATGATAAGCACTGACTATTATGAGGTCCAGAACAAGTAGCGCACGTATAGTGACATGGTAAACAAATGAGCGGGGCTTTATCTTTCGCATCCAATTGAGATTCCATATCAAGGGCCTCGGTAGCAACGGGCGTAAGAGTATTGGCACCTTGCCGTTTAATAAGGCCAGTACCACCAACTTGTTGAGATAAGTAAGTAAGGTGTCGCCGTCTTGAGCTTCTTTCCGTCAAAATCTCGCTGGCGTATGTACCATCCGGGCAACGCTTGTAGCATCGACCGTCGTACAAATGCAAACCCTTCGCGCATTCTAGTGGGAGAGAACAAAGTATTTTTAATTAAGGTAGTAAATAAGAGACAGTCCGACACCACCCAGCACCATGTCCAGCGTCCATGCATGTTGCCATCTCTTGCCAGCAGACCAAATGATGCAGAAGATGCACCTCGAAGGTACGAAGTCATAACGTAATTATCAATGATTAAGGATTTGGAAAAAAGGGATAGTAAGTAGAATCTCGTCACTGATCTCAAATAACTTTGTCTTGACGTTAAGAAAAGCTTGAGACGCTAGATGGTTTGTCATATGATAAAGATGCAAACGTGAAGATTTAATGCATGCTGTGAGTGCACAAAATTAAATGAAATCAGAAACAGTAAAAGTTCTACGATAAGAATTATTGAGACATATTTTAAAGAAAAACAAACATTTAGTAAGTGTTACTTATAATGAAAACGCAACAAGTAAATAATTGCGATTAGAATGCATTTATAAGGAATGTTAGAAACAAAAAAAAAACAGCGTTAATAAGCGGTAGTAAGCAAAGCATCACGCAAAACACAAAACGACGTAACATTCTTTAAAAACGCAAAATTATTATTACAAACGTTATATAGACCGACATTTAGCTATTTAACTATACTTTGATCAGAGACAAGACTCAACTTATAATAAAATGATGATTTTGTAGGAAACATTTTTATTATTTTCCTTTCACATCAGGTTCGATATATACAAATAATTCTTTTACATTTACAATAATAAATACATTTCACTGAGCGACTATTCCATGTCGATCTCGACTAACATATTTAAACTTAAATAATAAAACTGTTATAAAAATGAGCTCAAGACATTTCACGTATCGAGGTGCATTTAAAGTCAACATTAAATGTAAGAAATGCTAAAAAGTAAATCAAGCATTTCTTTCATGATGATAATGCATAATTTTTGAAAGTCACGTCACATTAATTTACATACAGTGAAAAATAAGTTTACCTAGCAGTCAATTAGAAATTATGATCGTTCAGTCATTTCAAACAAGTTAGTGAGCAAATTTGTACAAGTCTCCAAATTTATTTTTACCCATATATTTATGAAAGACCTACTTACTTATATATACACATTTAAAGTACATTATATTTATGGATTGGTAATCACCGCTATGATCACAACCACAAAATACAATAAAGTTTAATTTAAAATTTTAATAACATTCAGATTTTTGGGCGATTCAATTTTCAAATCTGTTTCAAATTCAATGTGACAGCTCTAACCACAGACGTTACGAATAATACTACGAATAATACGTGTACGAATAATTTCCAATATCTAACACAATCTGATCTTATACAAATTATAATAAAATTCATTATTCGCTATATCAAAACGACCATATATGTGAATTAAATATTTTATAACTCAACTTTTAAAAGGTAAGAAAAAATGAATTAAAGTTGTCACAGAGAAAATTTCGCAATAAAGTACTTCTATTACAATGGATTAAGATTTTCCTATTAACTTATTTTCATGTAACTTAAAATAATAGATATGTGTATCATTATAACTACGTTTACAATTAGGTAACGGCGACTATTCCCATTTCATATTTTTATTAACTTTTGCCAAATATTATTATTAAACATAGGGTTTCAAAATTTGTAATATGTTTCTTTCTCAAATATGTTAGAACTGGAAATATCGCCAAAACATCTTAAGCAAATACCACTACATCTAAATAATTACGTTTCGCTTTTAATATTTGCAACAAATAATTTATTAGAAAAACCAAATAACAAATAAATGCTTTATATTTTGGTATAAGTTTACGTTAATAGTCTTATTTTTACGGCGAATAAAAATACTCGTTAGGATATAGTACGGAAGCGATTGTATACATATATAATATACCATAATTATTATTAAAGAATATAATATACCATAATTTATTATTATTAAAGGATTGATATTGTAGGTTTAAAATAAACTCTATTATCAACGGTCAACAAAATGCTAGCTGCATAACAATGAACTGAAAAAATAACAGACTTAAGTACTGCGAGGATAGATAAAACAACATGCACCTGATAATGAGCAGCATATTTCATTTTGACTGCATTATTATAAAACTCACACGTAGTGTTCCCCTATCTCTCATCACTCCTCCATTTTATTGATCTCAAATTTACGTTGCAATTACTTTATCAAAATGGACGTTATAGTTTTTTTTAGATTTTATTATTATTGTAATTGCACTTATTCTTCATCTATTTAATCTGTCGATAAATAGAATTATTACGTGCTACAAATGGGTAGTTGAATATTAAGCTAGTGTCTAAATTTAAATATGTCACAATAACTTATGAATATCATTTTTAAAGTGAACACCGACTTCAGTAGTATAAAATTCCAGAATATAATGTCCGGACGTTGAGCACTTCTTTTAGTGCGGAATATTAGATATTATATAACTTTATAAAATTACGTACATATATTTGTATATATTTCTAACAAAACCAAGGCCCAGAAATTCCTGCCAGAATTATATATTATGCATATTATTATTTTATTATGCAGTAAATTTCCTCACACAACGAATATTGGAAATTTCTGGACCATGCGGCTATTATGCGTAAGGGTTCTAACATTTATCATTAATACTAAATTCTTCTATAGTAAGACTCCCTTGTGAATTGAGTCTTTGTATATTATTTTTTCACGAATACCTAACATAATCAACGTATAATTTGATGGACTGATTAAAATAATTGTTTCCGGGGTACAACGGTAATTATTAAATTTTACTCTAACAACACCGACAAAGTTTTTATTATATCAAGTTTAAACGTAACTTAGATTAAAATGGTTAGTTATTATAACGTTAGAGTTTTGTAGTAGTGAAGATAATGCTAATAATACATTAATCAGAACTCATCAAAGCACCCAACTAACCGTTTATGACGAACTGTTAATGCTAAAGGTATAGAAAAACAAACAAGGTATACGTTAAAATATACACCAATCAGCTTGTACTTATTGATAATCGCACATATAAAAAATTAACTAAGATCACAATAATATTGGCACTAACGTACCGGCAACGAGACATTCTGGGCTTGTAAGCATGGCGCTCGCGCGGGTCTAACGTTAGATTCCGCTGTTAGCTCCGTCAGCCCCATCTCGATCCAAGCCGTTAGTGCATTGTCACGCACTCTACGTCTACCGATATTTTTATTGTGTGGCGTGACGTTAGCTAGGAGCAAAGCTTCGGCCGCCCAAACTAGCAGCAGGAGGACAAGGCACAAACCTAAGCAGTGGTGAGGAGATTGTGGGGCGAGCGTGGCGCAACCGGCTGCTATACTAGTTCTACTAGCTGAACCCGATGAACCAGATGAGCCCAGCAAGCCTTCCTCACGGATCTGAAAAATGGCAGGGGCGTTAATAAATCCAAAAGCATAACGAAGTTAATTCTTAGAAATATCGTTTCTCAATCTCATTTACTTGTCTGAGCTTGATCCGTAATTAAACTAATTTTCTCGCAAAATATGCGTTATAAGTAAATAATTAACAGTAAATAAATATATAACAATAAATATTCTATAAAACAAACAAAATATACTATCGCATTAATTAGTACATCCATGATGCAAATTCAAATGATTATTTATGTTTAAATATTCAGAATAATATACTAAAAATGTTGTATTGAAGTTGTCTGTTTATTTCAAGTGTAGTTAAAGGAACAATATTACAAGTACTGTAAAATTAACGGATTCTTAAGGGACGGCCATGGGAAGGGGGAGATTTTACATGTTAGTTCGTTGCTGAACTCTGTACAGTAACTACATTGCATTTTCATGTAACACCTTAAATCCATTAAATCTTAATTAGGCAAAATAATTCCCGCTGTATTAATATAGATTTGAAGCGTCAGTAGCCTAATGGCAGGACGCAGACCGCGAACTCGAAAGGTCATGGGTTCGAATCCGCCATTCGACTACTGTCGTGAACCACTTCTAACACAAGCATTTTAAGCTTAGCAGAAGTGGTTAAAGGGAATATTAGTAATGTTTAATAACATTACTAGTATTTAAAAAAAATATATAGATAACCTATTTACATATAATTATTTACTTGTAACTAGCGAGCAGCCTCCACTTCGCATGGGTTATATGAATGTCATTTAATTAATCATTCAGATTTTTAAGATAATAATCAACGAGTATTTATATTAAATTTTTTTTTGTTTTCAATAAATTGAAACCCAAGAAAATCTCCAACTTTTCGATTTAAATATATTCTAGATAATTTTGGACATTGTTCTCTATCTGTGTGTGAAGTTTCATTACAATCGATTTGGCCATTTCGAAGATTCGACCGGACAGACATACAGGAAAATTTTAAAATTTGTTAATCATGTCTTACTGTTACGCAAATAACCCCATGAGCTCAATAAAAGGCAGTTATTTAGATATAATAGACATACGCTTAAATTTTATTAATATGTATAGATGTATAAATCTTCTACACAGTATATCTTACACAGTATTATCCACATTGTTCTGTTACTTGTGTTGTGTGATATAAAAACAATTTGCTAATTATTATTTAAAGTTATATACTAAGAAAAATGTTTACATCAAGTTTAATAAAGGCCACATATAATATTATAAGCGACTAGTTTAAATGCGTCTAAAATTTTGGGGTAAATAATGCTACTGAAAATATGTTAATTATTAGATAATCAACAGTATTTTTTTTATGTTTTTACACAAATAACTTTTTACTACATATATTAAAACATAGTTATTGAATTCAAAATATATTTCGTACCAAAATTCTAAAGCTTCTCCCAGTTCTTATTCAGGACAATTGGAAAATCTATTTAGAATAAAAATAAGAAATTAGAAAAAAATACTTTTAAAAGTCAAAACAATTTTTTTCAAAGAAATAAAAGGTTGACGTACTTTTTGATTGTTTGTTATTTATATTAATGTCTTTAATATTTTTCAATATTGTTTTTCTTAGTTTGTATTAGGTCTTTTTTAATAAAAAAATATTACACATTCTTGTCCTTTCATCGTTAGTTTGATGATGCCCTTTTAAAGGCTTTTTAAAGGAGTTGAATTGTTTTCTAAACTGTGAAATATGCGGAAGTCAGTTGGGGCAAAGTCTGGAGAATAAGGTGGATGAGGAAGAGTCTCCAGCTTTAGCTCTGCTAATTATGTCAACGTATGTTGTGCAGTATGTTAAGAAAATGACAGTGGACGGCAAACTGTCACCATAAGCTTCTTGTAGATATTTATTTTTTCATTTTGGACACTGCTTAGCTTGAACACCTGGATCTAAATATTGTTATGAACGTTTGCTTCTTTTTTATATATGCGCTTTCATTATCGCCTCTAGATCGTCATTTAACAACCTTCTTCTTAAGGTGGCTACAAGATTCATTTGTGTGATCATGATTTCACGAATGAAAGCCATTAAACCAATAACGTGCACTTCGTTATTGGTTCATTTTGTTAGTAGTGTTAGGTTCCTCCTACACGTCATTGATATTGCGTGACGTAAGTGACACATTTTTTCCCACGTCAACTCATATTCAAATATAACATAAATATTCTTAGTGTCCATGGTTATAAATATAGCTAAATTATATAGAAAACAAACCAAAGAAACAAATGAATAGCTGATTTGACGAAGGAATAATATGCCTCAAATGTAAAATTTATTTGAAGTTAGAATTATAAGTCTAACCACTATGACGGCTCCGTGGCCAATGCGCCACTTAGTAACGAGTTGTTGCGCTAAGGGCCGCGTGTTCGAATCCCGCACGAAACAAATATTTGTATGGCCTACAAATAATTGTTGTACTCGTGCAATTTATGTTTGTAAACTGCTTCCACGACACAGGAGAAAATCCTAGTGTGGGGGTCACGTTTTTAAAAAAAAAAGAGCGAAAAGAGAGTTCATAGTGGCCAGTTCAACAAAACGGTAATTTCAAAGGTAAAAATGTATTAAGTTTTATCTGTCAATATAATGTAATTCTTATAAGAAACTAGCTGGTTAGTCGGCGCGTTGCTGCCGCAGAAAAAATAATTGTGGAAATATCGTTTCGAAATTGGAATATATTATATTGTTTAATTAGAAATGATAGATAATATATTGATTGAAGTAGAGTGATATATTTCTTTCAAATAAGTTTGTCAGTACGATACGAGCGCCACCTAATGTAAGTTAATTGTACTATATGGGCATAGCATACCTTTGCGGAAGTGCAAGCAATAAGTTGACAAAGTTTTACCGCAATTTGATGCAGCACATAAAATACGAACAAACAAAAATTAATTTTTATATTTATTCTATATTTATGGATAGAAAAAAAAACAAATAGAGAAACTATAATATCGAAAGCAAATTCCAATATTTTATAAAATTAACAGAATTAAACAAAAGCTTACCGCATGGGAATCGTGCCATACTAAAGCGAGTTCATCATCAATAGCATTCTGTCTAATTTCCTCTGAGTCGGGTACACTTGAGCCTCCCCAAGCACCCTTATCCGGTCCGGTTCCTGCGACTGTTCCCGATCCAATTCCCGAACTCGTACCCAATGAGTTACTCTCTGGAGATGCATCATAATCTTGTGCCGGTGTTTCCGTTCCGTAGAAAATCAGCTCCCATTGCGTTAAAGGCCCAGCTGTACAAGAACGAAATTATTTAATTTTTACACCAAGTTATTTATGTGTTCGAGAGTAAATAACTAAAAGAAATTTAGTATATTTTTAAGGCAATTTTGTGATATTGAATAAATATATTTTTTTATATAAATTAATGGAGAGGTGATGAAATTTGTGATATGTTTTTTGTAATATTTTGCCTCGAAATTCAAAAATGATTATTAATATTCAATCATATAAAAATGTGTAATTATTAATAAGGCTATATCGTGTGTCGGTCATCTTTTATTTTAAGTGTTGGTTAGTGAAAGACAAATCTAAAAATATTTATATAAAAATTTCTTGTCTAAAATTAATCAGATTTGATTTTGTGATAACCAATTGCTTGTCAAAGATGGGTTTACCGCATATCATCGGTATATTGTGAGTTAGAGCGACGTATATGTTTGGGCCATGTTTTGCCCTTAAAAAGATGTAAAGCTTCTTGACAGACACTTTTCTAAACTGACAGATTACTGTACATAAAACTGGCATTCATTAAAGCCTTTATAAATATGCACCAACATATAGTTTTAAATTTACAAGTACCTTACTGATATAGAACAATTTAAAAAGTATATTTTTTATTAAGGTAACATAATAAGTACTTAATAATGTTCAAAATTGTGTTTATTAGACTGTCATTACTAAATTTAAAAAAATAAATAAACATCATATTCAAAAATTCATTTCAACAGCAAGCTATGACAACTAAAAATATAGGTTTATAAAATAAAAACAAAGTAGTGGGAGGACAACCAAAATCTACACATCAACATTTTAGTTTACTACGATCAAGGTTTTAAGCGGTAAAAATCAACTCAAATCAAATAAGTCTCTGCTAACTGAAATAAACGAAATATCGATGAAAATATCGTAATAAAATAATTATTGCAAACACGGCATGCAAACAGCGGCGACATTGTGACAGACGTGCAGGCTCAAACTAGACGGCGTATTGAAACGACGGACACAGCGCATGCATTTAATACCGTTGGCTTGCAGCGGAGCTGGATATATACGTTGGATTTTCGGATATTGTTCAAACAGACTGGACATCTTCCGTCCTCTAGCATCCGCCAGGGGATCAGTTATATCTCCTTGCAAATTGAGACTCAGATTTGGCGATGGAGACGTTGTTGAGCTCGTTGTCGTTATTTCTATTGGAGAACGCGTTGCCTGATGACTCTGTTTCACTTTCTGGGAACCGCTCTTCGGATTCTTGGAATTCTTATTCTTCTTTCTTTTTACCATTCCAAAAGTATATGTGGGGACAACGCTTATCGATTTTCCTTTATTATTTTTTCTTCCAGCTTGCACCACAACAGGACGCGTTACGTTATTCTTATTGCGGGCTATAATTGGACTGCGATATGGTACTGGATCGTTTTTAGCGGCGGGGGAGCTGGTCCCGTACAATGTCAAAGACCAGTCTT